TTTTTTTTTTTTTTTTTCTTTTAAAGAGCAGGTTCTCACTAATTTGCCTAGGCTAGAGTGTAGTGGCTGTTCATAGGCATGATCATTGCATGCTTTAACTCCAAACTCCTGGGCTCAAGTGGTTCCTTCCTGCCTCATTCTCCTGAGTAGCTGGGGTATAAGCACATACCTTAATGACAGTTTTGTGAGATTGATTGGGTATGTTGAATGATGGGTATGTTAGATGAGAGGTATTATGCATACTGCTTAAAAGAACACGTTCTGTCTGACCACAGACTTTGATTTGAATCATGGTTCTGAAGATTTGTTTAGCGTAGATTCCATTTCCTAATCTATAAAATGGAGCTGACAAGTGTCTTATAGAGATGTGAAATAATACATAAAAGTTATAGGGTGGTGCCTGTGGCTCAAAGGAGTAGGGTGCCGGACCCATATGCCAGAGGTGGCAGGTTCAAACCCAGCCCCGGTTTGAACTGCAAAAAAAAAAAAAAAAAAGTTGTACCTCATATCATGGTGTCTAGCATTCAGTAGACAGTCCTTAAATGTTAGGCACTACTTATTGTAATTTACATGTTGTGATTTTTAAGAATCTTTTTTTTTTCCTCCCCTAGGCTATGGTGAACTAAATGGTAATGCTGGAGAAAGAGAAATATCTTTAAAGAATCTGGGTTCTGATGAAGCTAATAGCCCTATTTCCAGGGTCCTCAATGGCAACCAGCAAGTTGTAGATACTAGCCTGAAACAGACTGTAAAGGCCAGCACCTTTGGGAAAACAGGAATTAAAACCAAGAATTTCATTCAGAAAAACAGTATGGACAAAAAGAATGGGAAGTCCTATGAAAATAAATCTGGAGAGAACCAGTCTGTAGATAAGACTGATACTATAGCAATTCCAAATGGTGTTGTAACGAATAATTCTGGCTATATTACTAATGGTTATATGGGTAAAGGAGCAGATAATGATGGTAGTGGATCTGAAAGTGGATATACCACTCCTAAAAAAAGGAAAGCTAGGCGCAATAGTGCCAAGGGTTGTGAAAACCTTAATTTAGTGCAGGACAAAATAATGCAACAAGAGTCCAGTGTCCCAACCTTAAAACAAGGACTTGAAACTTTCAAGCCTGACTATAGTGAACAAAAGGGAAATCGAGTAGATGGTTCAAAGCCCATCTGGAAGTATGAAACTGGGCCTGGAGGCGCAAGTCGTGGAAAACCTGCTGTGGGTGATGTGCTTCGGAAAAGCTCAGATGTTAAACCTGGTGCGAGCAACAAAAAGTTTGATGATCGATCCAAAGGAAAGCATGCTTCAGCTGTTGCCTCCAAAGAGGACTCTTGGACACTATTTAAACCACCCCCAGTTTTTCCAGTGGACAACAGCAGTGCTAAAATAGTTCCTAAAATAAGTTATGCAAGCAAAGTTAAGGAAAACCTCAACAAAACCATACCGAACTCGTCTGTGTCACCATCTTTATCTTCATCCTCTTCGTCATCTACTGGGGAAACTCAGACCCAATCTTCAAGTCGGTTATCCCAGGTTCCTATGTCAGCGCTGAAATCTGTTACTTCTGCCAGCTTTTCTAATGGGCCTGTTTTAGCAGGGACTGACACGAGTGTATATCCTTCAGGGGGCCAGCCACTGCTAACTACTGCTGCTAGTACTCTAACATCCATTTCTTCTGGGACTGATTCAGTTCTCCAGGACATGAGTCTAACTTCAGCAGCTGTTGAACAAATTAAGTCTAGCCTTTTTATCTACCCTTCAAATATGCAAACTGTGCTGTTGAGCACAGCACAAGTGGATCTGCCCTCTCAGACAGATCAGCAAAACCTGGGGGATATCTTCCAGAATCAGTGGGGTTTATCATTTATAAATGAGCCCAGTGCTGGCCCTGAGACTGTTACTGGGAAGTCATCAGATCATAAAGTGATGGAGGTGACATTTCAAGGAGAATATCCTGCCGCTTTGGTTTCACAGGGTGCTGAAATAATTCCCTCAGGAACTGAGCATCCTGTGTTTCCCAAGGCTTATGAGCTGGAGAAACGGACTAGTCCTCAAGTTCTGGGTAGCATTCTAAAATCTGGGACTATTAGTGAGAGTGGAGCCTTATCTTTGGAACCCAGTCATATAGGTGACCTGCAAAAGGCAGACACCAGTAGTCAAGGTGCTTTAGTGTTTCTCTCAAAGGACTACGAGATAGAAAATCAAAATCCTCTGGCCTCTCCTACGAACACTTTGTTAGGCTCCTCCAAAGAACAGAGATACCAGAGAGGCCTAGAAAGAAATGATAGCTGGGGTTCTTTTGACCTGAGGGCTGCTATTGTATATCACACTAAAGGTAACTCATTTATTTCCTATACAATTTTTATTGGCCAATTTAATATGCTTATTGTTTGTCAGTGCTTGCTGGAGAATGACAATGTGGGTAAGCAGCTACCATCAAATTTTGATTTAAGGCTTTTGGAAAAGCAGTGGAACCTCTAAGTTGACCACTCAAAGGACTGTAACTAGTTAACGTATGAAAATGGTCAACATAAGAAACTAGGCCTACTGTACTGGGAGGTACATATGGTGTATGTCTATTCTATGAAAGGTTAACTTGAGATGGTCAATGTAGGGAGATGGTCAATTTGGAGGTTCTACTTTAGTGCGGTGAAAGTTTAGCAGGAATGTTCACCTATCCAACTTAAAAGCTTTTTTTATATAGACAAATAAAATTGACCTACCTGGTTCACAGAATAAAGAGAGGTGGGGGAAATGTAACTAAAGGTGTGATGTTCTATTTTCTCTTGAACACCCTTAAGAGTTTTTTTGGGTTTCTTCTTTGTTTTGTTTTGAGACAGAGTCCAACTTAAAAGCTTTTTTTATATAGACCTAAAATTGACCTACCTGGTTCACAGAATAAAGAGAGGTGCGGGGAATGTAACTAAAGATGTGATGTTATATTTTCTCTTCAACACCATTAAGAGTTTTTTGGGTTGTTGTTTGTTTGTTTGTTTTGTTTTGAAACAGAGTCTCATTAATGTTGTCCTCAGTAGAGTGCTATGGTGTCACAGCTCACAGCAACCTCAGACTCTTGGGCTTAAGCGATTCTCTTGCCTCACCCTCTTGAGTAGCTGGGACTACAGGCACCCTACTACAATGCCCAGCTATTGTTGTTGTAGTTGTTTAGCAGGCCTGGGCCAGGCTTGAACCCACCATCCCTTGGTATATCTGACCGGTGTCCTACTCACTGAGCTACAAGTGCAGAGCCAGGAACAGTGTTTTTTTTTTTGAAACAGAGCCTCAAGTTGTCCCCCTGAGTAGAGTGCTGTGGCATCCCACTCACAGTAACCTCCAACTCCTGGGCTTAAGCGAGTCTCCTGCCTCCGCTTCCCAAGTAGCTGGGGACCACAGGCGCCCAACACAACGCTTGGGTATTGTTTTTTTTTTTTTTTGGTTGCAGCCATTGTTGTTTGGCGGGCCCAGGCTGGATTCGAGCCCACCACCTTAGGTGTATGTGGTTGGCACCTTAGCCACTTGAGCCACAGGCGCCAAGCCAGGAACAGTGTTTTTAAGGAGTCATCTGAGAAAAATGGAGTGTCGGACTTTTAAAGTAATTTAGACAAATTACGAGGCAAGCATATTAGCATAGTAGAGGCCAGGCTGTTGGGAGTTTGTACTTTTCATAGCCTCAAAGCCCATGTTTAAAGAAAACCAGTTATCTGCCTTAAGTTCCTTGTGATTAACTTCTTAGAAGGTAGTTTATTTGTATTATCAAGAAAAACCTGGGCCGGGCATGGTGGCTCGCACCTGTAATCTTAGCACTCAGGGAAGCTGAGGTGGGCAGATGGCCTGAGCTCACTGAGTTCAAGACCAGCCTGAGCTAGAGCAAGACCCTGTCTCTAAAAAACAGCGGAGCACTGTGGCAAGTGCCTGTAGTCCCAGTTACTTGGGAGGCTAAGGCAAGAGAATGGAATGAGCCCAAGAGTCTGAGGTTACTGTGAGCTGTGACGGCACAGTACTCTGCCAGGGGGGCAACAAAGTGAGTCTCAAAAAAAAAAAAAAACTTGCTGTATGGCATAACTATAATTTAAATCCTTAGCAGAAATAATGAAGTTTAAAGAATGGTGTTACAACCTTTCGCTTTTTAGATCAGGAGTTTTCACTTCTTTCCACCCTTATCTCTCCCCCCTCTTCTCTAACAGATCATACTCTATGCATAAACACACCTCACATATACTGTACATTCTCATATTTAATGTGGCTCATTTGGGTAGTGACTTGCAGCTGTAGGGATTGTAGGAATGGAGTAATTGCCATATCCTCCTGGTAGAAATTAGTACTGCCTTTGAGAGAAGTAACAAAACTGTTCGTGTGACTTTTAAACAAATTTCCTAGTCTGCATATCTCCCCTTATCTGCAAACTAGAAGACCTTTAGTACAATAAACAGATGTCCTTTTTATATCATTTTCTTTCCTTTGAAAATTAGGAGTAAGTAGTTAGAGAAGTTTTAAGAAATAGAAATCCTTTTTTTTTTTTAACTTTCTGCCAGACAGATGCAGATTTGGTGCCATTTTCTCTGCCATCTGCCCTCTAGAGGCTACTATTGGAATATGCTTACCAAAGTGTCTTGTCTATGAGACTGAGAGGATAGCTTATTTATTGTGTTTTCTTGACACTTCTGAAAAATTGTGGGATATGTTGTTTCATTAGGTGATTGGTTAGTGGTTTCATGTATGATTTCTATTAATGTGGGATTGTAGGCCTTTTAAAATGAGGGTATTAAGTTTTTTCTAGTTATTCCTATGCATTTACCCTATAGATGGGCTAACTAAATAAGAAATCAGTTGTATTTGTATTTTGAACAGTCTTGCTCCGTCATCCGGGCTCAAATACCATGGCCTCAGCCTAACTTACAGCAACATCAAACTCCTGGGCTTAAGCAGTCCTCCTGTTTCAGCCTCCTGAGTAGCTGGGGCTACAGGTGCACATCACCACACCTCGATAATTTCTCTTCTTCTGTTTTCTTTTCTGAGACAGAGTCTCAAGCTGTCGCCCTGAGTAGAGTGCAGTGGTGTCACAGCTCACAGCAACCTCAAACTCTTGGGCTTAAGCAATTCTCTTGCCTCAGTCTCCCAAGTAGCTGGGACTAAAGGCGCCTACCACAGTGCCGTGGCTATTTTTTATTGCAGTTGTCATTCTTTAGCTGGCCCAGGCTGGATTCGAACCCACCAGCCTTGCTGTATGTGGCTGGCACCATAACCACTGTGCTACGGGCGCTGAGTCAGTATTGTAGTTCTTTTTTTTTAGAGACAGAACCTCAAGCTGTCTTGGGTAGAGTGCTGTGGCATCTCATAGCTCACAATAACCTCCAACTCCTGGGTGGAATCGAACCTGCCAGCTCTGGTGTATGTGGCTGGCACCTTAGTCACTTAAGCTACAGGTGCTGAGCCATGCCCAGCTATTTTTTATTGCAGTTGTTGTTGTT